CCACGTCGTGTGACCCCTGCGCCGTGACGCCTTCTCCCTGCCACGCTGTGTTGCAGCACGCGACACCCTTAACGCGTGAATATAGAGCACCTATGTCCAGCACCACGCCGCGATGATGTGCCGCGCCATGGCACCCTCCAATCTTCATGCCGCGCCAGTCAGCCTCATGCCGCGACAGTGCTCTACTCCGCACCGTGGCACAGTCCCACGCCGCAGCTATAAATATGAGATCGTCACTTGAACAGAGACATCTTTCGATGCCCAGAACAAAAGAACCCTACCCCCGCTCTTTTAAACTCGTTTCTACACTTTCCTTCATCGTTTTTTATCGTGAACAAGGATTTAAGTTCGGATTTCATTACTGCTTTTGGATTCAAGCTTGTTTATCAAATTCAACTTTGGGGATTTTATCAATCGTAAGATTCTCTTTAATTTAATCGTTGATTATGAATGCTTGGGTTGAGATGAATGCTTGTGTTGTTTCGATTATGAGTAGCGAAATTCATATGCTAGATGTTTTGATTTCGTTTGCGATTATCATGTTCGTGAATGTTCTATTTATGTGAGTTGATCTTTTTAAAGGGTTTTCCAATTGTCATGCTTGAATATTGAAAATTGTTGAAGGGTGACACTTCAATTCTCAATTGTTTTAAATTGAGTTCGCATTCTCGCTTGATGTTGGTTATTCTAATTGACTAGTCGGCTAATCACCCTGTAGTCTATCTTAATCGATTCTTAGAACTGAAAGGGGATGAGTCGGTCGAAATAGGCTTGTATGAACTACGCTTGTTCGTAACTGTATTGCCTAGGAGTTAAATGACTTGTTACTTCTGCGTTCTAGTTTGTTCTCTTGTTATGAAGAGTTATTGAGGATGAATACTTGAACATGCAGGTTATTTAAATCACTTAACTGAACAATCACTTGCCCACTAATTGCAATTCGAACCAAAATGGATATCCCCAACTCCCTAGCTTCTCAAATCCTACTTGTTCGTCGTTGTTAAGTCGCTATTTCAATTTGTTTTATTTAAATCTTAGTAGTTGATAATTAAAAATCCAAACTAATCATCTGAATTATAATGTTTAGGATTTTATTTCTTTTTGCGTGGTTGAATAAACGTGCAGAGTATTCCGGCTAACCTTCCTCGAGAGACACGATTCGGTGTTCGAATCTTTCGATTCTATTGGAAAAATATTTACAACACTTGACCATACAATCATCCGCAAACATTCGCAAAAAATGACATTACGTAGGCAAGTGTGCAAATTACAAAGATTCGTGAAATTCATAGTGCATTTTACAAAAAAATACTATATATTGAAAACCTTAAAAGCATGTATAGTTAAGTCTGGGACCAATGTTTAACCTTTTTATTTTACAACACCTAGTTTCTATTTTCGTAAAATGTAATATTTTATGAAATATTTATAATTTAATGAAATATTTATAGTTTAATCATCTCGTATATGAACTTTATTGATGATTTTATGGTTGTTATGTGTGGGCTTATAATTGGTCCGAACCTATCAAGATTTTCGGCTTAGACTTGGGCCACCCAACAAGTCATTTACTGAAAAAACTTTTACCAAGGACATCAAAAGCACAACGGTTTTGAGACCTATAACATCCACAGTTGATGTTTTTGGGTATAGTTAATGTTGAAATTAAATAAAAGTGGGAGATGCTACGTCCCGTTACGGAACCATTCCACAGAGTTTGTAATCGTTAGATCAATATCTCGACGGTTACATGATAATCTAACGGTTACAAACCCAACGAAATAGTTCCATAACGGAACCGTAGCATTTTGAGATAAAAAGTAACTAAATTAATCACAATTCAAAGATTATTTTATCATGTAAATTAAATAAAAGCATTTTGGATACTTTAGTCTATTGAAAAGATTACACTGTCTACCTACAAATCCCTTTTTATGTTCACATTAATGGAGTTTTAACTCTTAATTAACTTCAACTATATATACTTTATTAGGTTAAAAATAGTTTATTTTTGTTTTTTGTGCTATAATAAGCCGCAATATTTCTTGATTTATAAATTGTTTATGAATGTTTTACATATTGTTTTATTATATTTAATGTCAAATTTTTACAATTCGAAAATGATCGCAAACATATACCTAATAAATTAAAATGAAATTAATACGTTAAAATAAATAATAATCTCGAAATGAAATTGCTTATCTATCCAATGTGGATACATTAAAATGTTCTAACCAACAACATGTCAAGGGCATCTGCGGAAAATCGATCTCTCCTCGTCTAATTCAAAGCTTCGGGCTCGATTCTTTCATGGCGTTCGTGTTTGGATAGCCCGTGGAGCGGCGAGCGGGCTAGCGTACCTCCACGGAGAGCAGAACATGTGTCTATCAGAATTGAGATTTCATGAGTTGTAGAGCTGTAGATATATTAGTAAAAGCCTTGGGTGTTTTATGTCAAATCCCTCACTTTTATAGTTGAAGAACCTTGCCGGCAAATTTTTTTTGGTCAATTATATTGGTCTACGAGCTCTTTTTTTTTTGTTAGAACAAAACAGGCTGCTCGTGAGTTCTGCTCGTTTCGTTAAAACTCGAGTTATATGACAAGCGGGTCGAATTCAAGTCCATTTGAAACTTATTTAGTTAATTCGTGATTCAAACTCGTTAAAACTCGAGAATAGAAGGTTTTAATTTTACTTTAATAATATCTTTCCATTTATTTTCTTAAACAAAAAGAGAGAAATATTATACCCGACGTTCAAATAAGTAGTCACAACTCACAACTAGGATTGCTATTAAGCTAAGCTTAAAGTTTTTGAGCTCGAGTTCGACTTAATGGAACAAAAAAATTAATTCATGCATGTTCGTTCGTTTATTAGTTCGACATGTTCGTGTTCGTTCGTTTATATAGTCGAACTTGTTCGTGAACTGTTGCAATTTGTTTGACAAGTTCGTGTTCGATTTGTTCGAAAAGTTCGTGTTCGTGTTTGCTATTTTTTTGTATTTTAACGCCATACAAGTTATTTTATTTAATAATTAATATATTTATATTTTTATATTATACTGCCTTTTTTTAATATATATATGTCATTTTGAGAAGTTATACTGTAATTAAGAATATTTTTTGCCAATAATAACCTTCATTAATGAGGATAGAGATGAATGTTTTTGAAAGAATATGAAGAGTGAATATGAAAAGACGTAGTGTATTTTATTAATTAGATGAATGGAATAATAGAAAATATGTACAACAGATTCAAAACGTCATTTATTTGATTAATCTATATATATATATAATTACTAGCCAATGACATTTAATAAAACCTAATTAATTTTACCTATGTGGCAATTGAATATTTTTCCCTCCAAAAACCGTTACTTTTTTATGTATTTAATCTTTTATTTAATTATTAAATAATCAATACTAATCACTTCAAAAATACAAAAAATCATTTTAAACTTTTTATTAGTGACAGTTGACCATAGAATGTGTTGATCGTACAATGTGATTAGATGTTATTATTGTGGTTACATTTAAATTATTTTTTTTTAAAAAAAAAAATTAAAAACGTATTTGAAATTCCTAAATAAATGATAAATAATTCAAAAAAAAGACGTACCAAAATATACATTACATCCAATTAGATAAACGCATGACATGCAAAAAAGTGAAAGAAAAATGATTAATCATTATATGCATACAAGTAACTCACAATACTTCACAATACTTTGTTTACATCTGTGCAAATGCACAGAGTCGAATAATAATTGTTGATAAAGTTAAAATGATATTTAAAAAAAATAGGATATGGTATTATATATGTATATACTGTATATATTATATTATATCATAAATTAGTTTTTTGTTCGCAAATTTGTTCGTGTTTGTTCAATAATTAAATGGACATAATTTTATATACAAATTCGAATCAACTACTAAACGAACGAGCTATTATCGATAAAATACGAACATACTTCGTGAAATGTTCGGTCCGATGACAGCCATGTCACAACTCACAAGACCTCCCATAAAGAAGAGGAATAGTCGGTCATCTTCACCCATCACTAAAGTCAAACACCTCATACAATGACACGTGTCCCGTTAAGCGACATTTATTGACACGTGTGGCTCGTACACTACGCTACCGACAACACGTGTCGCCTGCTCCAATCCCCGTTGTTATTACCCGTCATTATATAAACACTCAAACTTATTCAATTTAATTGTACCAAAAAAGACAAAAAAAATAAAATAAAAAAATTATTCAATTTAACCAAACAGCAATCTATCGAAATTTCCATTTACAGGCAAATTAATTAATTAATTAATACGATGTTTATTACCAGAAAAGTTGTTCTCAGCGCCAATCCTCGGACTTATCAGCCTTCCATCACATGTTTTTTCAGTACTGTAATTAAGGTAAAAAAAAAAGTATATTGGTTTTTTTTTTGTTTTTTCTAATTTTTTTCTCATGAATTATTATTATTATTATTATTATTATTATTATTATTATTATTATTATTATTTTGTGTGTGATATGTTGTGACATATTGAAATTAATTATGTGTTTAATTGCATAATAAACTAGATCTAAAAATGTGTGGAAAGTATTTCCCGAACACGTCAATTATTTACGAAAGTATGAACATTTAGGCGACAATGCATTTTTAATACGATTAGTTTAACACCGTAACAATTTTAGTTCCAATAGGGTTAAGGTTCTAACTTTTTGCCTTTTGTCACGTGATTTAATATTTTACTGCAATTTTAATTTAGTCCTATGTGGATTAAACTGCAACAAAATTTTAAATTTTAAATAACAGAACTGAAATTGCAACAAAATTTTTAATTATAGCACTTAAAATTATTAATTGAAAATCAATAAATTTGGATATTTGATAGCAATTTAATCTGAATGGACTGAAACTTAGCAATATATTAAATCACAGTATATATCAAGAGGCAAAATGTTAGAATCTTAGGGTTAAAAATTGCTATTTCGTATAACGGGCATGACTAAAATTGCAATCTAGACGAAGAAAGTACAACATTGTAACAGTTAAGGTAGCCATTCGATCTTTTGTTTTGTTAAGTCTATTGTTTGTTAGTAACCATTCAGTCGGCCTTACCATTCGACACCTTGTTTTGTACTTATGTTTGTATAACGTCATTATATGATGCCTTATTTGTTTGTAGAACGACATTTATTTTTGAAATAGAGAAAATAGTCCGTAACAAGTTCTGATCCCTAAATCAAATTAAATTTTTCAGGGTGGCACGACACCCGAGAAGCTAAACCCAAAAGGCGGAACCCTAAAAGGGTCCCAGGGCGGGTACGGTGTTTCCGAGCCGAAACTAAACCCGAAAGGCGGAACCCTAGAAGGGTCCCAGGGCGGGTACGGTGTTTCTGAACCCTCTACCACCATAAACAAGGCGGTAGAGAGCCCACATGGCGGTGGGCCACACGATCACCGTCAAGGGAAGGATAATGATGACCCTGCCGGTGACGTGGCAAGGTTTGTGGCGGAGACCACCAAGGCAGGGTTCGTCGGGGCAATAGAGACGGGGATGAAGCTCGGTGACATTGCGAAACGGACGGCTGACGACATGTGGGACTCGGCAAGGAAGACCGCTCAGGACCTCCGGGACACGGTGGCGGCCGAGGAGAAGGAAGATCGACCACGTGGCTTTTAGGGTATAAATAGGTTATTGTTGTTTGCTATTAGGGTTTTGTCTTTAACTTTAAGTTGGTGTGTTTTAGTACTTGGTTGATCTTATTGAGAGTCATATGGTTTGATACATTGGTGTGCCTTTGGTATTAAAATCTCTTCTAAGAATGATGAAGAAAAGTAATATGAACATTACTTCATTTTAATATAAGTTTCAAAAGACAGCCATAAAAATTCAATTACATTAAAGTTACAAATAAACCATGCCTTACAATTCATTATAATTTGTTGTCTCAATAATAGAGTTGTTAATTAATAATAATAATTAGTACCTGTTTGAGTTGACTTTTTAAGTCATGAT